AATATTCGACCGTAACGTCACGTGGATGTACAAAAAAATTGTAAATGTTGTGGTTTCACACTTCAACACACCGGTGGCCTAAAGTAGTGAACTATTTGTCTTTTGTCAACGTGACACTTTTTTGCTGATTGGCCGTGTCGGGTGGTGGAGGGTTACGACACATTTATAAATAACAAGATCTGACCCAAAAACGTGGATTATGGATGTTCAATGTTGACAGAACCGAGTCAGGCCTTAAATTTGAAGCGACCTTTTATCAGTTGTTGGGATTTCGTGTAGGTTTTTCAGCAGCAGAAGGAGGGGTTAATAGCTTGAAGTAGTTACCATGGCGATGCTCAGCTGTTGCTAGGAACCCACCGTTGTCACGGCAACAGCGGAAGTGCTGCAAACCGTAAGAGGATGGCATGATGTGACATTTGCGTGGTTTTCGTTCATTAGTGATGTAATTTGAATATATATATAAGACAGTGTAGGGTATTTTTCAAAGGTTGCATCGCACAAAAGCATTCGCCGTATAAGCATCCAAAAATGTGTTTCGGTCGAAAGAAATAATTGCGAAATGTCTTAACGTATGAGTTCTGTTGTAAGCGTACACGCACGGTGCAGAATGCCTCTGTTAAAGGCTGCGTGCGGCCTTGTGGCAGAAATACATTGTGATCGTTAGCGACAGGGCCGGGAGGCTTGTTGAAACTGCATGCTTTTTCATCATGAGCTTCAGTCTGTGGTGGCATGGGTTTTAATTTGAGACTTTTTTTTTCATCTTAACAAGGACTCAATTTGGGCAGTGTTTTAAAAGTCCATTAATCGGTGATTTAAAAAAAATGCTAAACTTATAATAATGAGACAAAATAAAATCCTCAAATGTTTGCACCGGATATTTTTGAACGTATGTTAGTTTACTGAAGGCTGCTTAAGCCTCAAAGAAAATGGATGATATGGGGACACGGGGATGGCGATAGTGAAGATTGTGGGTGCCCACTCAAAGAGCGGCCCCCTTCTTTCAGCAGTTCCAATGTAAATCGTCGATGATTCCACAACGCACCCAGGCCAGCTTGTGCCCGCCCTCACAGTCGGGCATATTTGCGGAATACACCACGCCGCCGTTGACCCTGGCCATTGACCGAGCAACCCAACGTTCCTACCAGCTCCCTCCGCAGGAGGAATGTGTTAAAACATTGCCCAAAATTGAGTGGTTGTTAAGATGAAAAATCGTCCCCTTATGACGTCTCACATGAGAAACCCATGCCACCACAGAGTGAAGCTCTTGATGAAAGAGCATGTGACTTTCCCCCCCCCACCGCCACACACGTGGAGAATTCACACTTCACATTATGGGACGGTATTGGGCGATGACAATTTTAGTTTGGCGGGGGAGAAGGGGGGGTGTGGGGGGTGTTTTCGGAAGTGGGGAGCTGTGATGGCATGTGGTGTTAGCGGTGGCGGATGTGATGTGTGGAGCAGCGGTGCAGTGGTTTAGCACACACTGGGCGGCACGGTCGCGAGATGTTAACGACCTCGCCTGGAATTATACACTTGGTCGTGGGTTCGATCCCGACCCTTACGCCCTGTATATTTTGAGTTTGCATGTTCTCCCCGTGGTCCCAATGTTATTTTTCTCCAGGTCCTCCAGTTTTTCCGTCCACATTTTCTAAACACGTCTTTAGAGTTGGCTGGTACGCCTTTTGGCGTCCTCTGATCTAACACCGTTTGAGACGAGGCTCAAAAGAAAGCTGTTTGTAGTGTGGACCAATCAGCTTCAAAGACAATGCATATATTATCAGAGTATGTTTTATTGTGGCTAATCCAGTCATGATTTCTTGTCAAAGGTTTCAGTTTGGTGTTTCAACAACGTAACACCTATACTCTTTGGTTCTTTCGGTAAAGTCACGTAGGTATAAAATAAATTAAATCACGACATTTCGATTGCAACACAAGCAATCATCATAAGGTGGGAAAACCACAGCAATATGTTTTCTTTGCTGAAGTGGGAGAGAGTGTTGCCGTGGTAAGAGGTTATACAGGCAATCGAAACGTCGTGATTTCATTTATTTTATTTTATACCTACGTGACTTTACCGAAAGAACCAAAGAGTATGGATCCCTGCAGTCACAAAAACTTCAACTCTAAACTTAACACCTGTTTTGTTGCCAGATAAAAGGGAAAACCCTATTCTCACGTCTTTAGAGTGCTTGTCTACTGCTCTACATTTCCACGTGATAAGCCACTTCGTTGAGCGATCATTTGTGATCGCCAGGCCGCTTCTGTATAAAGAGCTACATAGCTCAGTTGGCCTTAACTGGTCAAATAAAAAAGTTTAGTTTCATTTAAAAGTCCCTCCGTGTAAACGGACACTGTAACTCTGTGCAGCTCACTTCTAGTCCTTCTCTCTGCTACCTCTCTTCCCTCTCTCGAACTTAGGGCTGTCGGGTTCGTAGCTCAACAACAACAACAACCGCGGTGATGTCACCACGGCGCTTGTGCCAGGCCAGGTGCACGTTAAGTGCCACGTGAAGTGTGAACCGAGATCCGATTCCTGCTGACGGCCAACGTCGGTGATGAATATCTGAATCGAATTCTGGGCCCTCCATCGGTTGACTCACACCATAAATGAGTATCTGGTCCGCTGGGTAAACATCAACACTGGTGTTGGCCATCCCCCCCCCCCATCGTGCACCTTGCCCGATTTCACAGGCGCTCGCTCACAGGTGTGATGGCGTTGTTGCGAGCGGCGGTGTTGGTGGGGGCTGCTTTTCGTAATTGTAACAATAATGACGATAGTGATCGGGTTGGTTCTGGTGAAGGTGTTGGTGGTGGTGATGATGATGGTGGTCGTGGTGATGCGGTTATGGTGCTTGATTGTGTTGTTGATGGTACGTGTTGTGGTGGTGCTCTTGGTCGTGATATAATATCAGACAATCAATACCGGCCCACTTTTCCGAACTGAATCGAGTCGCAGGCTCAGCGACTCCACAAAGGCCTTCTTCCACCCTGCCCCGACCTCCGCCAGCGGCATTAACCGTAGCTCCCGGATCGCCGGTCTCTCTTTGGCCAGGCGCACCAGCACAATCGCGGGCGGCAATTTAATAATGACGGCTAATTGCTATGAAGAAGGGTCATCACCCCAAAACGCCACCTCCTCTATACTCTGCCTTCTAAGGCAGTATTTATTGATGGAACATCTTGAGGGTTGTTGATAATGATAATGATGAGGATGCTGATGAGTGAAGTTGCAGTTATGTTCGTTGGTGATGGTGGTTGTTGATGGGGAGCGGTAGTGTAGCGGTTAGCGCGCTGCGCTACGAACTCAACGGAACGAGTTCCATTCCCGCTCACAGCCAACACCGGTCCTGGACCTCACCTAGGTGGACTCAGCTTAAAATGAGTAGCTGGTGCAATGTGTAAACATCGCCACTGGGGAGGAGGTCGTGTTGGCCACCCACCCCTTAGTGTGCAATGCCGGCCTTCATAGGTGCTCACTAACAGCACTTGCCCCAACAGTCTGTTAAGACTATGCGGGGGATCTTTGTTTGATGTAGTTGATGGTGTTGTTCAGGATAATCTAGAGGTTGGTAAGTTACTCTCCATGTTGAGTTGTGAAGCAGACCCACAAACACGTTATGGGGGCACAGCGAGGGCTGCCGGGAATCGGCACCCGTGTTCGGGTGGCAGCAGCAATTGTATTCTGTGTTGAACTTGATCCCAATATGATGTCACGAGTTTTGATAATCGACCTGAGCGCTGACTGAGCAATGCATCCGTGTTTGGCCTAAAGTGGTAAAGGTGGCAACCCTAGGCAAACCATGAAGTTCCGAAATTTGGGGAGGAGGGGGGGGTGCTGCTGCTCCACATTCCTCGTCAAGGAGCATAAACCACCATCACGCGAACTCCGGCCCGTCCTCGCAACGGCAGCGGCTTTTGGCTCAAGCCCTCGAACAAAGACGGCGGTCACCGCATCGCGCGGCGCTTTCGGATGCGCTTCTGCGGTCGTCTGGAACGCTCTTCCTTCCGATATTAGGTAGCCACTGGAGCTATGCACCTTTAAATCACCTAGATTGACAAACTCATTTCTGTGGAGCCGCATTTTGTGTTTTTAGTTTGTTGTCCTTCCCCTGTGCCTCCAATTAGCACGGTTGGCTGCATACGGTGCGAAAGAAGTTCAGCAAACATAAATATCCGTGCATTACATCCTCGACTGCAACCCTTCCCATGGTGTGTATGCGGATACACGGTTGTCATGTGCACGACTGCACCCATCGATGCCTGCTAGGCGCACCGAACGTGCGCGCGAGTGTGTGCGTGCATGCGCCGCACGGGTAGACATGGGCTGTGCGTTCTAATAGCGCAGTGTTCTTCACTCATTTTCAGAGGGGGGATTGAGGGGGTGCCACTTCAGCTATCAGTGTGAGGGCCGTCACACATTTGAAACCATTGGGGGTTTGTGACAGCAGTACGATGATGATGATGGGGGAGAGGGTGGTGATTCTAGATTTGAAGCTTTCGTGACTGCAAGGATTCATCCTCTTAGTTTTTTCGGTAAAGTCACGTAGGTAAAAAATGAAATTAAAATGAATAAAAATAAAATAATAAAAATCAGTGATGTATCACTTGATACAGCAAATCTGGCTGTGACGGTCCCACCTGATGACGGAGACTTGTGTTGCCTCCGAAACGTCGTGATTTTTATTATTTTATTTTTATAATTTTAATTTCATTTTTTTACCTACGTGACTTTACCGAAAAACTAAGAGTATGAGAGGGTGGTGTTTTCACCATTTGTGTTTTGTCGGGGGACCGCACGTCCGGGTGCCGCACTAAAGGCCACCAGGGGCCGCCAGTGGCCCCGCCGCGGTGGCTTTGCAATGAAGAACACCGGGTCATCGCCTCGTGGGTTCAGCTCGTCCTCGGGCCCTTCGTCACTCACACGAGCGAGAGCTCGCGCCTCCTGCCCCTGTTCTCATTCCTTCTCCTCCTCCTCCTCCCTCTCCTCTGCGGCGGGGCAGGTGAACGGCGAGAACATCATCAAGTGCGGCCACAAGCACGTGGTGGGGCTCATCCGCCAGGGCGGGAACAGCCTGGTGATGAAGGTGGTGTCGGTGAGCCGACGCCCGGACCAGGAGGATGGCCTGCGCAGAAAAGGCGAGGGGCCCGCAGTGCCAATTTTTGTTGTGAACCGACGACGCGTTGCCTTGTCTGTCCTTCCGCCGCACCTCCGATTGGCACGGTTGGCTACTTGCGGTGCGCAAGAAGTTCAACGTCCCACGTGAGTTCGATCGTGTTGCATTGCGCTGCGTTGAACGGGGGGCCACCGACGTTTAGACGGAGTCGCCGCTGCCAATACCGCCTGGCAACACGGCAGCGTTTGCTCAACGGGGTCGACTCTGCCGATGAGACCCGGAAGGTCGGAAAAACCGGTCCAGAGTATTTTTTGCTTCGAGACAATTTGCTGCTGCTGGATAATGTTGGTGTGGAAAAGCCAACAGGCCGATGGGCTTATAGCGTTTTTTTTTATTCGTATGTTGGGGGGAACGTATCGCTCGCTACTGACGTTGGCCCACTGGCTCAGGCGCGACGGACAGGTGATGAGCGCCGTAATACGACAGAATCGTACACCCGACAAAATCACCGATCAGAGATTTGCCCATATATGGAAGAAAGTGGGCGTGGCTTTGGCCGAAGGGGCATGTCTTTGCCCATATATGGTGACTGCGGATGGTTAATCGAGATTAATTGATTCCGCTCAGTAGATCCGTAATGAACAAACATCAAAAATACCGGGGTTAATCGTAACGTGCGGAGTTAATCGTCGTGTCGATTCATTGCCGATCGATCCGTGGATTGAGTCATGATGTGACACGCCTCCCCAGCTTCATGTGATTGGCTAATATCATCGAGATCGGTGATTCCGTCGCAGTCCGCTTTTATCGTTATGCACAGCGCCCCCCCCCCCCCCTCGAGCATGAAATCGCCTTTTAGGTTTACATTTTACGCATTCGTTGGCAGAAAGTCGTGTGCCCACGTGCGTCTCTGCAAACGCTCACGATGGAGGCAGCCGTGGCGGCTGGCGGTGGCGTGGGAGGGCCTCGTTTTTTAGTTTTTAACTTTTACGAGCCGAGCATTCAAGCCAAAAATGTTAAATTCCATCCTTTTTTATTCTCTTGACAAATGGCCCCGGGACCGTTAGGAATCGGGCGTTGCGCATTGCTCATTCATTAAGCGCACAATCCACGTGCGCTTTGCTCGAGCGCAAGACGCCGCTTATGCAATCTTTGGACGATACCGCGTCCGAGTAGTTTGAGGATTATTAACCCTTTTCCCGTCCCGAGACGTCTGCCAAGTTTGCAGGGTGCGGGTGTGCCGTTCACTGGCGAATCTCGGAATGTGGCGAGCGCTTCAGCGTTGATTTTATTGAGAGAGGCGGAGAGTGCCTTTGATTTTAAAGACACTGCACTCACCGCAGAGAACTGTAGCGACACGACCACACTCTATCATAATCTGGCGCCAAATTGTGGCACACGCCCTCCTACATGACCTAGCAGGAGCCTCGGTACCCATAAAACAATGGCGCAAGTTCTTAATAAATCTCGATATTTATCATGACTCCACCCCACGTGGCCCATTAAAGGAGGTCATGGGTACGATTCTGACCCAGATGCCTGTATATTTGGAGTTTGCATGTCTCTCTCCCTGTGGTCATGTGGTATTCTCTGGTTCCTCCGGTTTTCCCCTCCGCGTTTAGAATCACGCTTTTAGGGTATTTATCTGCTATAAATGTCCACGTGATAAGCCACTTCGTCGAGCTATCATTTTTGTGGCCGCGTCGCTTCTGAAAATATCTACATAGCTCAGTAGACCTCAACCTGTTAAAATATTTTGTTTTCTAGTTTAATTAGTGCCACACTATCACAGCTCTCTCTCTTTCTCTCGCTGTCTCCTTGGTTTGGTTTATCAGCTCCCCCACTGCCAAAGAAGTCCCAAAGTGCCACGGTGTCGTTCCGTTCCAAGTCGATGACGGCCGAGCTGGAGGAAATCGGTGAGTGGCCTTCGGCAGGGCCGCTGCCGCCGGCGATGACGACGACAACGGCATGGCGGTGGCGATGGCGGCGGTGGAGGCCTCGATCTAGAGGAAGGGCGACCTCGCGAGAGGCCACCGCCCCCCCCCCCCCCCCCCCCGGCCAGGGAGTGTTCGCTGGTTTGCAAACCCCCAGCAAGCGGTAGCGGTTGCTGCCATTGCCCTGGGCCGTTAATCTGTTGTGCCCGAGGTTGTGCCCCCCCCCCATCCCCAACACCCTCACCCCCCGATATACCCCCTGTTTCTGTTGAACACCTTAAAAAAGATTCCTTTCTGAAGTGAAGTGTGCCGTTAAACCAAAAATGTAAAAAAAAAATGGCTTCAAAGCTGCGTCACGTTGAATCACTGTGGGGCCCCTGGCCTTTTCCCGAACTAATTTTTGGGGTAAACAATGTGCAGGGTAACTTGAGGTTCCATCTTTGGTTTACGACGCCCGCACTGGGAAAAGACGACACGCGGCGAGAAAGTGACCCCACCACCACCCCCACCCCCCGAGCTGTGTTCAACAACAAACCCGAGCTGCAGCCCTCACACTAGGCCCAACCTCACGCTCTAACCCTTTGACTCGACCGATAACCCTAAAACCATCGCCATGGCCGTAGCCTTGTTGCTTGAACCTCAAGGCTGTGTGCCAGGATATTCTCGATTGGCGAACGCGTGCCCCACGATTCAAGAAAGGCGCCGCCGAATTGAGTGTGGGCACTGGAGTCGATCCGTGTCGCGTTTTTCACCGTGTGTCATTTTTTCCCTAGAGAAGTGACCAGGGGGAAAACCGAGTCGGGGGGGGGGGGGGGTCCCCTTCAACCACGCACTGTGTGTGTGTATGTGTGTGCTATATTTGTGCCCCTGAAACAATTGCACCTTAACCGATTAATCTGTGACATTTTAGACCAAGTCTTGCAGCGATGTTTTTCATCACCCCTGGAGGTAAAGAGACTTGCAGTCACCAGGTTGCATAACATTTTACTGTCGACGTTTTCGCTGTTTGCAACAACAACAACAACAAAAGACAGGCGTGATTTAGCGGCCGCACCTGCGCTCGAGATTTACACCCCGCGGACTTTGCCGGCATCCCGGCGCAGCTCTCTCCGGCCATCGCTTTGCGCTCGCGTTAGAACTTTTATTTTCCGTATGCCTCGCAGCGGCCACGTTGATGGGCCTTGCCGCCCGCCTGCTGGCATCGCCCTCGTTCTCTCCCTGAACGAGATTCGTTAAATGCGCGGAGGTTTGGGGGGGGGGGGGGCGGGATCCGTTGCAAGCGGGACGCCGCGAGAGAAGGACATCCCAGGAGTATTTGGTGCGCGGGTGCCCGACGCTCAGCCTCACGCAACTAAATTCCGTCAGGCCGGGCTTTTATCCAAATGGAGACGGAGATAAGCCCGCTCACGAGCGGCGAATCTCCCGTCGCTTGATTTAATTTGATAACTTCCGAGAGATGATTCCACGTTCGCAGCGGTTGGGCTCCCCACCCACTCCGCAGGATACAGCGGCGGTTACTCCGATTGCGCGCCATGCAGTAGCGTGCACGCCGCCCATCGGTGAACGTTCGTTCGAGGAAAACAAAAAACTAAAGCGTGGGGAGTAAGGAGGAGCCGCGTGCCTCGAAGCGGGCCCTGGGTTCTGAGCTTCACCGAAACGGACGAGAGGAACTACATCAGTCGCAGTGCAGCGGTGTTTGTCGGCCTTTAAACACGTGCCTTCATCGGAGGGGAGGGAGCGTTCAAGAGACATCGTTCTCTTAATTCCGAGGGCTGCCGACATTTTACGCGGCCCTGAATGTCAGGACACGTCGCGTTACGTTTTGAGGGCTCGCGGAAAAAAACGTAACGCTTGAGCGCAAAGCAAAGCCGCCCCCTCCGCAGCTGTCCCGACTAAACGGGATTTCCTCTCGGCGTCGCGCGTTCAATCGGACAAGCGGCGGCTGGCTCCTGTCCCGCCGCTCGCAGCGCATTGATTGATGACCCCCCCGCCCCCCCCCCCGATTTAAGAAACCGTCCCGGAGCCACCGTATAGGTCCACGCTGAGTCTGTCATTTTCACAAACCGCCCGCTTTTAAGCGACGTTATTAACGCGGAGTGGGGGGAGCGGGGCGGCGGTTGGGGGGACTTGTAAGCGTTATCGCCCTCCGGGGAAACATCGCAAACGTTGCAGTTCTTGCCAAAGCGCCGGCGCGCTCCCCGCATTAGCGCTGGCGAGAACCCGGCCCGTTAATCATAAAAAGGCAGCATCGCGCGCCGGAACCGTTTCCCTCTCTTCGCGACCGTAGCTGCCGCTCTCCTTGCGCGGGAAAAAAAAACTGAAGTTAAACCCCGGGGCGTAACTAACGCAGCGCGGCATCCGCAGGGCGGAGCAAGGCCATTTAGTTCACGGCGCTGTGGTCGTTATCGTTGTCGTCGTCGTGTTCGTCGGAGGCGCGCCGCTGCGTGTGACCGCACGGTCCGTGATTGCGCATCACCATCACACGCTCACTCACACGCGCTCACTCACACGCGCTCACTCACACGCGCTCACTCACACACGCGGGCGGGCGGGTTCACAGGGCCGACGTGGCCCCTCTGTACCACGCGTCCCATCGCACACAAAGACAAAGTTCCACCCCACCCCCCCCGCCTAGACTAAACAGACTATTGGAGCAAGTGCTTTTAGCGAGCACCTAATAAAGGCCGGCACGGTACACGAGGGGGTGGGTGGCCAGCACCACGCCAGACCACCTTTGTCTCCCGAGTGGCGCTGTTTACTACGCACCGCACCGGGTACTCATTTGAGGCCGAGTTGACCGAGACGAGGCCCAGGACGGGTTCAGGACAATCGTCGCTGGTGTTGGCCATGAGAGGGAATCAGACTCGGCTCGCCGGATTCGTCGTAGCGCGCTAACCACTACTCTACCTCTCCCATCGTACACACACGCAAGCGTTATGATCATATGGGGGAAGACCGCGCATGCCTGTGCCACAACTGCATTTCTTTTTAAACGGCATTTCACGTCGACATTTCCTCGACTTGAGTTGCGTAAGCAACAAAGCATGCGTGAGCTCAAAACCGTGTTTAATATCACAAACATAGTCACGTTTCGCGGCATCGATGCCACATTTACACGCGGCATCATCTCTATCCGCTCGAGTTTGCGTGCACCCATACGTGCGTGCATACCTACTTACATACATGAGACACGGGGTATATATTGTATACGTTTCCGCATGTATACATGTATACGGAGTTGATTATTGCATTGCGAAATCGTCACGAATTCTTTCCCCCCTTCTTGTTTCTGTTTTCTCCATTTGTCGCCATCTCGCATTCCTCCGCCTCCTGTAAAATTCTCTCGCCCGCCCCTCCCCGATTGACCTAAAACCAATGTGCAGTGGACAGAGGTAAGTCTCTTACACATTCTTTTTTGTATCAGATGTGCATTTCCTCACCCACCCTCCCCCCCCCTCTCCTATATTTTACGCGTGATTTTTTTATCACACATGAACACCGATCACTTTTTTCCTGCTTCCTGACCGTTCGTTTAAGGTTCACAAGATGTGTGTTCTGTCTCTTGTTTTCTGAAAAAAAAGCGGCTGGGAGGAAGAAGAAACAGGGTGAGTACTGCATTTGCTCTCAGTTGACGTGCCCCCGCCCTGTGCAATGTTCCAACAGAGACTCGGAGCTTAATGCACAAAGTGCACAAAACGGGATAAAATGCCAAGGTACTTCAGCATCACAAAATGGCTCGCATCTTAAACATTTATCGAGAACGCAGGGAAGGGGTGGGGGGGGCGCCAGGGGGCTACCCCGGCGACCCTGCTCGGGCACAGTCGCTGCCGAATTGATCGTCACGTTGCCGACTTAACCGACGCAGACACCCCACTACTCCCGTCCAGCCTCGCGCGGGAACTCTCCCCGCTTGGGCCCGGCAACGCCCTCGTCGGTACTTTGGTCCTCCGGCGTCGTCGGCATCGTCGGCGTCGTCGCGACGACGACGCTTCGGCTTTCTCTCTTCCCGACTTCAGCTAACAGCTGACGTGGAATTTGCGCTTCTTTCTGACAGAAAAGGTGGAACAGGTGTTAGTTCACGAGGTCGCGGACTCTGAGCCGCCGATCGTCCCCGCCACGGCACGGGTGCGTCCGCCCAGCCGTCTCTTCCCGCAGGAGGTACGTGCCCCCGCCGTCCCCACCGCCGGGAACGGCGGGCAACGGCCGTAGCGCACGTGGCTGTGAAATGCTGCGCTTTGGTGAGAGCCTTGTGCCGTAAGAACGGCCACGAATGCCAAATGCGCAAACTTGTCATCGCGATGCTGCCGTGGTAAAGTATTTAGCGCACTGGGCTCACGACGATCCGGAGGTCAGCCGCTTCGATCTCTCTCGAGGGAGCGCCAGTCAGACACAGGCGGCAGCAGGAGTTGAGTTCGGTGGCTCTGGGTGAAGATGCCCGCAGTGAGTAGTAGAGTAGAAACCCTCTTAACGACGGTAATTACCGTAGTTCCACGGAACCGGTCATTAAGTGATTTGGTCGTTAAGCGAGTATAGGAAATGCACGTTAGAGGCTTCATTCCCTCCGATAGCATCGAAAGTTACTCTATAATATTTAAACAATGGATATTTATACACAAAGATACCAACAACATTATAAACACATAATATTCAAAGAAACATGGTTAATCAATGCATTCATTCATATTTACTGTACCTCCAACAGCCCGTCGTTTGCATGGGAATGGTCAGTAAACAAATACATTGGGCTCTATGGAGGCCCTACACTACTATACACTACACTATACACAACACTACTATACACTACACTATACACTACACTACTATACACTACACTATACACTACACTACTATACACTGCACTATACACTACACTACTATACACTGCACTATACACTACACTATACACTACACTATACACTACACTACTATACACTACACTATACACTACACTACTATACACTACACTATACACTACACTACTATACACTACACTATACACTACACTACTATACACTACACTATACACTACACTATACACTACACTATACACTACACTACTATACACTGCACTATACACTACACTATACACTACACTATACACTACACTATACACTACACTACTATACACTACACTATACACTACACTATACACTACACTATACACTACACTACTATACACTACTATACACTACACTATACACTGCACTATACACTACACTATACACTACACTATACACTGCACTATACACTACACTATACACTACACTATACACTACACTTTACACTACACTATACACTGCACTATACACTACACTACTATACACTACACTATACACTACACTATACACTACTATACACTACACTATACACTACACTATACACTACACTACTATACACTACACTATACACTACACTATACACTACACTATACACTACACTACTATACACTACACTACTATACACTACACTATACACTACACTACTATACACTACACACTATACACTACACTACTATACACTACACACTATACACTACACTACTATACACTACACTACTATACACTACACACTATACACTACACTACTATACACTACACTACTATACACTACACACTATACACTACACTACTATACAATACACTACTATACACTACACTACTATACACTACACTACTATACACTACACTACTATACACTACACTACTATACACTACACACTATACACTACACTACTATACACTACACTACTATACACTACACACTATACACTACACTACTATACACTACACTACTATACAATACACTACACTATTATACACTACACTACTATACACTACACTATTATACACTACACTCCTATACACTACACTATACAATACACTACTATACACTACACTACTATACACTACACTCCTATACACTACACTATACAATACACTACTATACACTACACTACTATACACTACACTACTATACAATACACTACTATACACTACACTACTATACACTACACTACTATACAATACACTACTATACACTACACTACTATACACTACACTATACACTACACTATACACTACACTACTATACACTACACTATACACTACACTATACACTACACTATACACTACACTACTATACACTACACTATACACTATACACTACACTACTATACACTACACTATACACTAAACTACTATACACTACACTATACACTACACTACTATACACTGCACTATACACTACACTATACACTGCACTATACACTACACTACTATACACTGCACTACTATACACTACACACTACACTATACACTACACTATACACTACTATACACTACACCATACACTTCACATTGGGCTATATGGAGGCCCATCGTTAAACGATTAGTCGTTCACAGGGGTGGTCATTAAGAGGGGTTCTACTGTGCGTGCCAAAAACTTGCGAGGCGTGGCCCAACCCCTGAAATTAGAAGCAACATGCTTGGGGGCTGTGAAAGCGTCGGCGATAAATCCAGTTCAAGCGCGTGTCGCGTTTCTCCCCGCTATCTGTGGCGTCGCAGTGCCAGGTGCAGTACGGCTTTGACCTGATGGGTCCTGGACAGGGCCCATCACCACCTCTGGGCCCGCCAGATCGGCCCTTCATGCCGCTGCAGAGGCCCGGCGGGGCATACGCCCACTCGCCCACGGGTAAGCGTGGCATCGTCGCACGCCTCTCCTCTCCGTCACATGGACTGCCCCCCCCCCCCGACCGTGTCAGCCTTTAACAGAGCGTCTAGTCAAGTGCTGTTAGCGAGTAGCACCGATGAAGGCCAGCATGGCACACGAGGTTGGTTGGGTGGCCAATACCATGCCCGGACGCCTTTGTCTCCCCAGTGCTGATGATTACACACCACGTCAGGTACTCATTTCCGGGCCGATTCGTCCTACGGAAGTGCCCAGGATTGGTTACAATATTCGCTGTGACTGTCATTGCTCGTGAGCGGCAATGGAACCCGTTGCCGCCGGGTACGTAGCGGTGCCCTAACCGCTCTGCCGCCGCTCCCCACGTGGAGCGTGCACACATACCCACGGGCAACAGCGCGGATGGCAAATGCGTAGCCCTGCAACTGCCTCGTCCGCGCCGCTGCTGGCGAGAAGGGCCTCCGCTTGAGGGAGCTCGTAGAGACAATCGTGAAAGCGTCGTTGTAAGTGAACGGCAATAAGAGAACGCGCGACGACTCGATCGCACGCGCCCAGCGGCTCCGCGGTTGACCGAAGTCGAGCCGCCCGGGCCGTGCTCACGCAGTCCAACCAGCGGCTGGTAATCCACGGCCGACGGCAGAGGACGGACGGCCTTGCGAGATTCCAAATTGAACGCCGCTACCGTCTTCAATGTAACACTGAATGTTGTTCTTTTGCCCCAGTTGGCATTTAGGTCACAACCTTTCTCCGGACTGTTTCCGCCTGGTTTAAGTGCCCTTGGGGCATGGGGGCGGGGGAGGCGGCGTCTGTGCAAAACAGGTAGACGGCGGTGGTGGTAGGTAGGTTTGGGATCTCCGGCGCATTCCGTGAGATTCCAGGCCAGAGGATGGAGGTCTCTTAAGTGCCCACCTATTTCCACTCACCCCCCCCCACCACCCCCCTTCTGTGCCGTGAACATATCTCGCAAATTCTAAAAACGTACCCAGTGCCAGAGAAAGACGCACAAGCGTCTTGTTCAACGTACGTACGGACGTACATTGAACTTCTTTCGCACCATACGTAGCCAACCGTGCTAATCGGAGGTGTGGGGGAAGGGACGACATACCAACACACAAAAAGCAGTTCTAAAGAAACGAGTCTTCAACCTAGATTTAAAAGCGCATGTAACAACAATCGAACGAAGCTGGGCCGTGCTGCGGCAGAGCACTCGGCTCGCAGTTTGCGAAGGTTAGTGTATCGACTGAGGCCTGTGATCCATTGAGTCCTGAGGCCGACACATCCTAGCATCTCACGCAGAGCCATGCTGCTGGAGAAGGGAGTGGAACAACGTAGACGTCCAGAACAAGAATGTCATTAGAGACTCCCCCCCCCCCCCCCCAACGTCGCACCTCCTGACTTTGACATTCCTCCACGAAGACATTGCAGTGTCGTCAGCAGGCCGATGCGCACAGCTTCAAAAATTGTGAAATCAAAGACGTGCCTCCCAGTCGTGCGATCGTGGCCACGCAACCGAAACTATGGTTCACATATTCATCCATTAATCTTTTCCCGTTCCGAGACGTCTCCAAGACGCAGCAGGGTCGGTGTCCCGTTCGCCGAGAGGGGTTGTAGTAGCGCCGTTGTTTTTAAAGACACTGTACTCACCGCGGAGAACCGTAGCAACGCGACCGCAACTCTGCGATTGCTGGTGCCAAACTGTGCCACACGCCCTCCCGCACGGCACTGTGGGCGGATCGGTACCGATAAAGTTATTTTATTTGAGCTTTTCTTGCGGATTCGTTTTGATGACGAAACAGCAAAACTACTATATTCTTGGTTCTTTCGGTAAAGTCACGTAGATAGAAAACAAAACAAAAAACTAAAAAAACAACAAAACTAAAATACATTTAAATATTTTTTGAAAAATGGAAATAATACAAGCAAAAAAACCACGATAAAAATTGTAAAATAAAAAAAAACCCCACCACGTTTCGATCGCAACACAAGCGGTCTTCTCTTTTTGTTTTCTATCTGCGTGACTTTACTGAAAGAACCAAGAACAAGAATTCCTGCAGTCGCGAAAGTTTTAAGCAAAACTACTGCGACCAAACTCTCCAGAGGGGCCTCTCGTCGTGGCAAAGCGGCAGAATAGAATCCGCTCGGGGTCAATGGATTACAGGCCTTTTTGTGAGTCGAGTTACTTGGTGACACGGATCCCTGCCCAAACTCGTGGGAGAATTTCCAGCCGCTTCACTGGCACCGGAGACACCCAGCGGAAGGGAATGATGAGGGACCTTGCCTTGGGCGCGGAGATCCTCGTTGGACTCCTTTTACGAGCGAGCGAGCAGTTGTCAGGCACCGGTCAGTCTTTTTACACGTTCATTTTCTTCCTTTGGATGTAAACCAGAAATAGCTATAAGTACGAGGACTTTCGTTGGCACAGCCATTGCCGACACTTTGTTAATTTTCCGCACCCCCCGATTAGCGCGGTTTTCTGCGCATGGTGCGAAAGAAGTTCAACATACGTACACACATTGTCGCCTTCTCCGCTCGTACGCGCGCGCGCTCACTAACTGCACTTGCCCCAACAATTCGTTAAGGCTATACGTCGGGGGTGGGATCTTCGTCTGTGTGCGCGCGCTCCGCGCGTAGGCATGACGGCCGACGGACGCTTCTACGGCTCCGCGGTGGACCTCCCCTCCCAGTTCAACCCCTCGCCGCCCCTGCAGCCGCAGTACGGCGACGGCGGCATGGTCACCCCCTCCTACTCGCCCGTCTTCTACTCCCCGCCGTCGCCCGCGGTGCCGGGCGAGTACCCGCCCGTGCAGTCCCCGCGGCGGCTCTACGAGGCGGCGCAGCTCTCGGCCCTGCGCCGGGAGCTGGAGATGGAACCGGGGCTGCTGCACAGCCCGTTCCACGGCGCGCTCCACTGGCTCGCTGCCCTCCCTGCACGCGCTGCAGCCGCTGCCGCCCTTCCTGACGCCCACCGCCTCCGAGCCGCCCTTCATGTACGGGCCCTCCGCCCCAGCGCAGCCCAAGCCGGCGCGGCCGCCGCTCTTCGCGCAAGACGCCGAAGACCTGCCGGACATTTTCATGACGCAGCAGCAGCAGCAGCAGCAACAGCAGCAGGCGCTGCAGCAGTCGCAGCAGCTGCGGCAGGCGTTCGAGCTCGCGCAGTTCGGCTTCGCGCCGGAGAGCGAACAGTCCGTGGGGTATTTGGAGTCGTCGGCGTCCGCCTACTTTGCGGCCCCGCCGGCGCCGGAGAGGCCGCGCAGGAGGAAAACGCCGCTGTTTGGCGGCCAGGAGTCGGCGGTCGTCCCCGCGCAAGAATTTTCATTGGAGCAGCAGCAGCAGCAGCGGAAATACGAGCAGCAGCAGCAGCAACAACAACAGCAGTTGCAGTTTGAGCAGCAGCAGAGGCAGTTTGAGCAGCAGAGGCAGTTCGAGCAGCAGCAGAGGCACTTTGAGCAGCAGCAGAGGCACTTTGAGCAGCAGCGGCAGTTCGAGGCGCAGCAGCAAATGCAGTACGAGCAGCAGCGGCACTTCGAGGCCCAGCAGAAGCAGCAACAGCAGCAGCAGCAACAGCAGCAGCAGCAAGCGCAGATGCAGCAGCAGCAGCAGCAGCAGATGCAGTACGAGCAAATGCGGCAAATGGAGCTGAGGCACAAACGTCCCAAGACTCCGACGGAGCACGTCTACGCCAACGTGGGCACCGGGGTGGCTGGCGCCGTCCTGGCCGTGCCGGGCAGCGGCACCGGCGCCGCCACCACGGCGAGCTCCCGCAAGAAGGCGCACCTCACCAAGCAGACCAAGATCGAGGGCAGCCCCGACAGGGCTGGGAGTGGCTCGCCGAACCCACTGCCGACGATCATCATCAAGGGTAAGGGGCGACGCGCACGGTTACGGGGGCGTGCTCGGCCTCCGTCGCGGAAGAGCGCATCTTTTGGGCCTACTCTACGCACGCTGGCCCGGACGTCTTGGTTTTTTTTTTTTTACGACTACTTACACGACACCAGGCAAGACCCCGCTGAGCTTCATAGCTCTTTTTAGGAAGCGGCGTGGTCATCGCAAATGATAGCTCAACGAAGTAGCTCATCGCATGGAAATGTGTAGGCAGCCAAATGCTCTGAACGCGCGACGTTGATTCTAAATGTGGAGGGGACAAAGCGGAGGCCCCGGAGGAAAATCCACGCGAACACCAAATGCACAGCAGGCGTCAGGGTCGGGATTGAACCCACGACCTGCCTACCAGGCGCGGTAGTTAAAAAGCTTATCCAGCGTGCCAACCATTACACCATGTCAGCATTGTTCACATTTCGACCAAATTTGGACAAAATTCGGACCGTGATGCGTAAGATTTAGTTCATGTCCACTGAGAGGCAGACGGTGCATATGTATCGTTAATGCAGCTGCAGAGAACTAATAACACGGAAATCTGCTGGATTAGTTTAACACGTAAGCTTTCACAACCAATATTATCCATAATAGAGGTTTTTGTGTTAGATCGCGTAATGAATACGTCATTAAACCCGCCACCACCCGAAACAGCCATATAGTAAGGTTTTTCACGTAAACAGAACATGCCAATTCGTTACTAGTACAGTACACCGGTGTATTGGAGAGTAAACCCACAGGATCTACAATTTGAGTACGACGTTTTGCCGGTAATTACAACCAGCATCATCAGGCGACAGCCAGCCCTCTGGATTGCAAGTGCAGTGTGCCAACTAACAAGACCTCTGGGGGTTTTCTTTTGGTTTTCAGACCCGCACGGTATGTATGTACGTGCGTTGAACTTCTTTCACACCGTACGTAGCCAACTGCGCTAATCGGAGGTGCGGGGGAAGGACAGCAAACTAATGCACAGAAAGCAGTTCTAAGGAAATGAGTTTTCATTCTAGACTTAAAAGTGCACATCTCCAGTGGCTTCCTAATATCGGAAGGAGGTGCATTCCAGACGGCCGCAGAAGTGCGATGGCCAACAAAAAGCCGCTGCTGTTGCGAGGATGAACGGAGTTCGCATGATGATGGTTTATGCTCCTTGAAGACATTCGCAAGGTATTGTGGTTTATTTGTCGCGAGCACCTTGTGTGTAATGAGCGCACCGATGTTTCTATCACGGTGGGTTTTCTCATCATTTGACAGATGTTTGCTCATAATATCGCAGCAGCATCCTATTCAGCAATGCTCGGTTGCCTTCAACTCATTCTCAACTTGTTGTGGACGCTGGAAAACTACAGACTGCAGTAATCCCTCGTTATTCGCAAGGGGTACATTCCGGAGATGCTCGTGAATAGCAAATTTCGCGGATAATGATGAATTATCGACAAAATAAATACGTAAATAATAAATGCCATCACTTTATCTCTTGCCCCCTCTCTCTCTCGACGCAGCCATGTAGAGTTCCAGGTGCGTTTCACGGATAGCCAAAATCGCGGGTAGCAAGTTGGTGAACGGCCGATTTGCCGAGCCGCGGGCACGTTCGCACGTTCATCGCCGGGCCACTTTGCACCGTCGACGATTTAATTCCTTCCAAAGCGCGCATCACGATTCGCGAGAGTAAGCCGCGGTAGAAAAAATAAAATAGAATTAATTAGGAAGATGAAAATTCCTTGTGAAAGCTACAGGTGTTGGCGATTGATGGGAAGAGGTTACGAATTTCAATGCATCCTCACCTCCCTAAAGTGAAGCTAAGTAAAGGTGAATTAGATTTAGCACGGACCTGCCTACATGCAGTACTAGTCACCTATCTCTAACCCACTCACCATGGATGTCTCTAACCCACTCACCACGTCTGTCTCTAACCCACTCACCACGGCTGTCTCTAACCCACTCACCACGGCTGTCTCTAACCCACTCACCCACGGCTGTCTCTAACCCACTCACCACGTCTCTCTCTAACCCACTCACCACGTCTCTCTCTAACCCACTCACCACGTCTCTCTCTAACCCACTCACCCACGGCTGTATCTAACCCACTCACCACGGCTGTCTCTAACCCACTCACCCACGTCTCTCTCTAACCCACTCACCCACGGCTGTCTCTCCCCGTGCCGTGCTGTCCCCAGAGCCCTCGACGAGCAGCAGTGGTCGAAGCAGCCAGGGCTCCAGCATGGAGTGCGAGACCCCAGGCCCTGAGCCCAAGGAGATGGAAATCCCCGAGGTGACCTTCAGCGGCCTGCAATCCGAGTCGGGGTCCGCCACGCTGGGAGAGGCCGCACCTCCCTCCGCGTCCTTCCAGGTGCTCGTTGCTTTCGCCGTGCGCGCTCCGGTCGGCTACGTACGGAGCCAGGGGGGTAGGTCAGCGTGCACGCGCGTGACATTTCAGCGGCATGGGTGGCGCGGTGCGAAAACTTGTGCGTCGTAGCAAGAAGGGCTTGAGCCTTTTGCGTCTGAACTTGTTGTACGTTGTCTTCCCCGTTCCGCACGGGTTTCCTCCGGGTTCTCCGATTGCCTCGCGTAGACAACCCTCCTGCAGAGAGTTGTCGTACTAAGTGTGGCTTTCCTTAATGGTTAAGTATTGATTATCATCATCATCACCTCTGTCACAGCTGCAGCCGGTCTTCATTTACCTGTTTAGTCTCAAGGTGGGCTCACACTCGAACGGGGGTCAGGTGGCCCACAGATTCGGAGCGCTGGGAGCTCACACCGCTGACACAACCTGGGTTCGAAACCAGGCAGCCGCCTGATGTTAAACCGGCTTCTTAAGCGAGACCCACGCCAGAACTTACTGCAAACCCACGCCAGAATGTACCACAAACAGGATTAACAATTTACGGTGTTTAAATACTAATAAAAAACGGTGCCATAAATAAAATCACGTGACAGACCTGCGTGCGCATAGCCCCAGACGTAACAGAGTTTCGCGAAAGCGTTCACAGCAGCCATGGCAGAGGTGAGCCTGCAGCATGGCCTGAACACACACGTGGTTACAGAGGGTGAATTTGGAATGTGAAGATTGGATACGAGGATGTTCCAAAATTTCCAGATGCTATTGCTAAGTGCCCTCTTTCTACACCGCAGGCCATCAGCACTAAAAACAATATTACATAAAATCACACCGAACGCCGTATATTGGATCATTCTAAATCATTATGTTAATGACCTTCCAGCCGAGTACAGTACACACAGGATGTTGTCGCGTGTGGGTCAATTCAAACCGCACGGAGCGAATTTCGCCTAGCCAATAGATCGGCCGCGGACACGCTAAATCGCACGGACCGAAAACCCGCGTCGAGCGAGGGAATCCCGCGGTTGAGACTTTTTTTTCAATTCCGACGCTGCACGCGGCTTGGAATGGCATCCCTCCACCTCCGGCGGTTGTCCTCTGGACGAGACGTGGGAATCGTTCGGCTCTGGGCGCCGTCTCCACCGTGCTCATTTCCCGACGCCGAGCCGTGCCGTCAGTCGAGCAGCCGCCGGCGTCGAGCCGGCGTGCGGCGACGAGCGGCGGCGGGCGTCCCGAGCGCCGATCGCGACGCGCGTGCTCACAGCCACTTTCCCGGCAGGACCCCTTCTCGGCGGCGATCGCGTTCGCCGTGCACGAGAGGCAGCGGCGCATCGAGGAGCGCCACCGCTCCACGGGAGACCTCTCGCTGCTGTCGGGCGACCCCTCGCGCCAGCAGCGCCGCCCGCCCAAGCCCATCCTCAAGCACTCCAAGTCGGTGGACGAAGAGCACCTGGCGAGCAACATGCAGGCGCGCATGGCGGCGCCGCCGCCTCCGCCGCCGCTCCCGCAGCACATGCAGCAGCACATGCAGCAGCACATGCAGCAGCAGCAGATGCAGCAGCACATGCAGCAGCAACAGCAGCAGCAGCAGCCAATGGGCTCGCTCACGTACCTCTTCGGAGCGGCGAACGTCATCACTGGCCCGCCAGCCACCGGGCTGACGTTCGCACGGCCGGAGCAAAGGCAGGTGTCCATCGTGGTGCCCGGGCAGACTCATCACCCCCAGCCTCATCACCCGCACCACCACCAACATCAGCCGCTCCACCACCACCACCACCACCCCACCGCCTTCGAGAGCAGGACGAGGAAGGAGCTGCCGCCCCTTCCGCCGCCCCGGAGCGTGGTGTGGGAGCTGCCTCCGTTGCAGCAGCAACAGCCGCTGATGCAGCAGGCTGTGATGCAGCAGCCGCTGATGCAGCACTCGATGCAACAGTCCATACAGCAGTCACTGATGCAGCAGCAGCAGCAGCATGCGCCCAAATTCAGGAAAGAACCTCCGCCACCGCCGCAGACGGTGGTGGAGCGGAAGAGCGTCATCATCAACATCATGGACACGTCGCAGCAGAAGTCGGCCGGGCTGCTCATGGTACACACCACGAGCGAAGACGGCGGTGGCGGCGTGGAGCTCGGCCACGACTTGGGAGCGGCCCCGGAGAGAGGCGTCGATCGGCGGAGCAAGAGGGGTGCCTCATCGCCGATGGGCTCGAGCGAGCTGCGGGCGGGCGGCAGCCCGCTGCAAATGTGCGTGCCGTCCCCGCCCGCGTCGCCCGGCGTCCCGCAGGAAGGGGAGTTCTCTGCCTTCGCCACCGAGACCATCCCACCTCCGCTGGAGTTCGCCAATGGTTTCGCCACTTCCATGCCTCAGCAGCAGCAGCAGCAGCAAGGTTCCCTGGACGCGAGGAGGCAGCAGCAGCAGCAGCATCAACATCTTCATCAACTGCATCAGCAGGGGCACAGAGGCGTGGGGAGCGAGTCGCTGGACTCGGGCCTGGAGGAGATCGAGTCGTCCCGGAGCGGGGGCAGCGAGCAGCCGGCCGAGACGACGAGCACCGTCTCCACCGTGTCGAGCATCTCCACGCTGTCGTCCGAAACGGGAGAGCCGCCCGACACGCACACCTCCTTCGCCGATGGTCAGCCGTGCCTGGTCCCCCATCACTACGGGCAGCAGCAGCAGCAGCAGCAGCTGCAACTGCTGCAGCAGCAGCTGCAGCAGGACAAACCGCCCGTCCCTCCCAAACCCAAGCTCCGGCCGCCCGCGCTGCGGAGTTCCGTGGTGACGTTCAGCGAGCCGCTGCACAAGCAGGAGATGGGCGCCGCGACGATGATGATGATGGCGCCTCCGCCGCCCGTGCCGCCACCACCGCCGCCACCCGTCGCCCCGCGCCCGAAGTCGTCGGTGCAGAGGTGAGGGCCGTGGGAGTTGTGCGGTGCCACGCACGTCTGCGGTGCCGCTAGCCGCCCCCCACCCTGTGCCGTGCATAATTACTCAAATTTAAATGTGTGCACAGTAGAACCCCTCTTGACAACGGTAATCGGTTCTACGAAACCGGTGGTTAAGCGATTCGGTCATTAAGCGAGTATAGGAAGCGCATGTGAAAGGCTTAATTCGTTCCGGTAGCATCGAAAGTTACACTTTTTCAACCCAAAAAGCATACGTTAGAATATTTAAACAATGGATATTCTAACAACATTATAAACACATACTATTAAAATAAACATGGTTAATCAATGCATCAATTCATATTTGCTGTACCTAAAACAGCCCATCGTTAACAGGGGAATGGTCAGTAATCCAACACATTGGGTTCTATGGAGGCACTACACTACTATACACTACATTATACACTACACTATACACTACACTACTATACACTACACTACAATACACTACACTATACACTACTATACAATACACTACTATAACTACACTATACACTACACTATACACTACACTATTATACACTACACTACTATACACTACACTATACACTACACTACTATAACTACACTACTATACACTACACTACTATAACTACACTATACACTACACTATACACTACACTACTATACACTACACTACTATACACTACACTACTATACACTACACTACTATACACTACACTACTATACACTACACTACTATACACTACTATACACTACACTACTATACACTACACTACTATACACTACCCTACTATACACTACACTATACACTACACATTGGGCTGTACAGAGGCCAGTCATTTAGCGATTAGTCGTTAGCAGGGGTGGCCGTTAAGAGGGGTTTTGCTGCATATGTAAGTTGTCGAGCAAGTATTACGTGATATGAGTGCATGAATTCACAAAGCGACCAATCATTTGGATCTCACGACGACGAAGTTACGGCGATTGGCAAGGTGCTGAAACCATCGCACCTGTGCTCATTATTGTCGCCGTCGCTTCAGCACCTCAGGCGTCTGCGTCGCGGTTCGACGCGATAACCTACTTCACTGCATTGGAACCTCATTTTCCAGTAAAAAATATGATAATTGTTTTTTTACCCTTCTATCTGGCAACAAAACTGACACCTTTTTTACAAGGAGTCATGTTTGCATAGACCACAATACCTGCAGTCATAGTGCAAAAAAAAACATAACTCTGATAATGTATGCGCTGTCCTTGAAGTTGATTGGTCCACACCCGAGACAGCTTTCCTTAGAGCCTAGTCTCACATGGTGTTGGACCAGATGACGCCAAAAGGCGCACAACTCAAAGACAATGCACCATCAGAGTATGAGAGCTCGGGGTAAGCATTTACACCATTGGAACCTCATTTGCCAGTAAAAAATATGATAATAGTTTTTTTACCCTTCTATCGAAAAAACCTAACAGTACCTATCCGGGGGAATCGTTGTCTTTTGTGCGTCTCTTATAAACGCGACCTGCGCGCGGTGGCGAAACCAGGCTGTGGGAGGCGGAGACGTCGCTGGAACGGGTCGACAGTCGCAAGGCCGCGCCGCTTGATGCCAAGACGAGTGTGATCAGCGAGCTGAGCTCACGACTGCAGGAGATGAGCCGGGAGAGGCGAAGAGCCGCAGCCGAGCCGGTGGTCAGGTAAAACTATAAAACACTTCAGAACAGTTGGGCCCAGACACATTCATCGTAACGTGAAAAGATATTCAATTGTGACGGGTATTTTTTATATCTGGCGCTTGGCGTCTGTGAAAAAAAGCTAAATAAAGATTCTGATTGTGGGGTAAATATGATATATAAATTACAATGGAAAATAGGTGCTGCATTTTCTCAAATTAAGGTGATCCACCTGATAGGGTCACAGTGATGGCATTACGTTTACCTTTACTCTATTTACGACCGAAACAGGAGGACTTCTTCACAATTCTGGCTAATCAATCGCCTGGTGAAGCTAGTTGTTGTGATCACCAGCGGAACGTTGTACTCAAATCGTTAATGTTGTGGGTTTACTTTTCAACACACCGGTGTACTGAAGCAGTAACTAATTAGCACATCTTGTTTACGTGACAAACCTTACTCATTGGCTGTGTCGAGTGGTGGCGGGTTTAACGACACATTTATATTCACGCGATCTAACCCCAAAAAGCCTTCATCTACGACAGCTGGCGCCAACCTGTGCCACGCGCCCTCCCACTGGCTCGGTGCTCCACACAAGGAGATGAGCACCGTCTCAATGCTCATTTGAGCGAGAACATGTACTGAGTTTTATCCCTTCTGTCGGTAATAAGACGGGAAAATAATTGACATTGTACATTATCCAAAGACATAATTACAAAAACTTTAATATGTGTATATGTCCATTCTAATTATAGAATGTATTAATTAACAAAGCACTGTATGTGCAGCAGACAAATCACCTCATGACGATGAAGTTAGGGTGAAGGAAAGCTGCTGAACTCGTCACACCTGTGCCGTCATTGTCGCCGTCGCTTCAGTTCCTCGACTTCTCTATCTAATCCCTCGCTTTGCCTGTTCATTCGTCTAAAATACAGGCCCATCAGCAGCACAGACAGGGCCCCAAGCATCACCTTTAACCTCCGATCGCAGCCAGCCGCGCAGGTCGGGAGGGCAACGCCCAGCCCGTCCGGCGGCGACCAGTCGGAAAGCTTCATGGGGGGACCCCAAGCGGCCGCCACCACCGGCAGCGGGGCCATGGCCCCCCCACCCGCTCCCACGCTTCCCCCCATGCCCGCCGTCCCGTCGCCCCTCATGCTGGCGCTCTCTCAGCCGCCCGGGCTGCCCCCGCCGCCGCCGCTGCCTCCCCCGCTGAAGCCGCGCGCGCCGACCCCGACGCGGGAGGTCAAGTTCTCGATCTCACCGCAGCACGCGTCGCCCCCGCTGCTGGGCCGGGCGACGGCGGCGGCGGCGGCGGCGGCGCGCTCTCCCGGCCCGTCGCCGCCGCCGCCCCAGCTCCTGCAGCAGATGCAGCAGCCGCTGTCGGCTCCGTCTCTGCTGCAACAGCTGCAGCAGCCCTCGTCCTCCTTGTCGTCGTCGTCGCCCTCGCTGCTGCAGCAAATGCAGCCGCAGCAGCAACTGTCGCTGGGCATCCAGCCGTTCTCGCGCAAGCCAATCGAGCTGTGGAGCAAGTTCGACGTGGCGGACTGGCTGGACAGCCTCAGGTTGGGGGAGCACCGGGACAGCTTCCTGGAGAACGAGATCGACGGCACGCACCTTCCGTCGCTGCAGAAGGACGACCTTCTGGAGCTGGGGGTCACACGGGTCGGCCATCGCATGAACATCGAGCGGGCGCTTAGGCAGCTCCTGGAGAGATAGTGCCACGCCCCCAGAGATGGCCCCCAAACACGCCCACGGTGAAATAAGGTCAAACGCCGAATTGTTGATGAGTTTTAAGAAAGAAAGAATAAATCACAAACGGTACAACAGTTATGGAAAACCTAGTAATATATTTAACATTATCCATTAAATTATTACTTCTTTGGAATGACAGTACTACTGCATTTCCTCGTGCAATTATTTTAGGAAATTGACATCTGATTTTTTTGGTTTTAGATACTCGATTGGTGAAGTGGTTGATTAAGTCGCTTGCCTTTGATGCAGGTTTGGGGATGGTAAAAAAAAAGTGTTCTTTGACTTTGCAAGAGAGATTTGCTTCGTTTGTTTTCCTGCAATCCACTTGTAAAGAAGTTTTAGGGGATGAAGATGGCATTACGTCACTTTAATCAACCAGTTCTTGGGTTAGTTTTTTTTTAATGCAGACCGGGAGCATTGTTGCTTCAGGAGGCTGTGGACCCTGAGCAAAATGGCTCTGGTCTAGAATCACTTTGGTTCTTGGAAGCAAACAAATTTTCGAGTCTGTATTTGTTTACTTTTTTAACGATTGCAGTTTACAGTTTATGTGGATCCGAAACAACAACAACAACAAAAGATACCCCCCACATTTTTTTTAAAGCAAACTGGCATATTGGCAGGGATAGGGTTTAACATTTTTTTTTCAAGACATACACCGGTAACATTTGGACAAGCGCCAAAGATGTGGAACTGCTGATAACAACAACAACAACAAAAAGTTGCAGGAAAATAACTCGATTTCTTAGATTGTACCAGAGGGTACTGTGGTTTGGTGTTGCCATTCCATTCTTAAGACAGGAGGCATTGCCATTAATGAGGACATCAATTTGTGGGTATGTCATACCTAACAAAATACAAAACCGAGATTACGTTGCAGAAATCCGACTTTTGACCTGAGCCACACGTTAAAAAAAAATGCTGCAACCACGGTGCAAAGTTAAAATATATACTCTTTGGTTTTTTTGGTAAAGTCATGTAGATTAAAAAATAAAATAAAAATAAATTAAATCACGACGTTTCGGAGGCAACACAAGCTTCCGTCTTCAGGTGGTACCGTCACAGCAAAATTACTTGATACAGTAATTTTGCTGTGACCCTTGCAGTCACGAAAACTTCAAATCTAGAATTCAAATATATACATACATATAAAAACAAACTCAGCAGCATGAACATTTTTTGTAACTGCAATCAGATCAAAAAAATATTTTCTTACCTATTTGTTTGGCCTCGTTCGTTTCTATTACCCCTCCCAATAATCGAGAGTTTTATTCTGACACGGCGAACAATGAGAGAAAACAAACAGACAAACAACACACACAAAATGTAAAAAAAAAGTGTCCAGACGGGGCAAGAGCCGCATTCGCATTCCAACGTCGCTGCGCACGTGCGAGCGGCGTGAAAGGATTTTAGACGCGTGGCTCCTTTCCACACCGGTGAGAAGCTATCTCAAAGATTCTGAAGGATGTGCAGTGTCGCTGTCCAAGGTAGCTCGTTCGATAGCCACACACACACACATAAAAGAGACGGGGAGATATTTTGATGGTACATAGTAACATAGGTGCTTATCTTGTGCTATATATGCCTTCTATAATACCACAGTGCCCTCTAATGTTTTTAATCTATGACTTCAAAAATATAAAAGAAACAGCTGACAGTCCAAAAGAAAAGGTTATTTTTCTTAAACCTTTTTTGTGTCGCAAGTTTAGGAGGGGGGGGGGGAAACAAAACAATGTTTTCACGTTAATGTCAAGTGTGTCAAGTTGCTCAATGCTTTTAAAATTTTACCGACAGAAAAACAACGAAGGAGGGAATTTTGTCGGCGTAACGTTTTTCCCGACCCCCCCGCCACCCTTAACTGGAACGACCCCTAAAGGGGGTATGGGGGGTGGGCCTGCCGCATGTCCAAAAACGTTGTGTCAAAACAAAACACGGGCACGCTCTAGCGATCCCCATTTGACTTTTGAGGCGTTAAGAGAAATGACAATTTGGAATCCGTGTCGCCTGAGACAATTATTGAGGGAGTGGGTGGCCGTGGGTGGGGGGGGGGGGTCTTGGCACTGTTAAAACAGTATATCACCCCAAAAACAGTGGGTGCCTCTTCGTACGAACATTCGGCACACGTTTATTTTTTGAGATTGGGGGGGGCGGCAGGAGAGGGGGGGGGTGCGTGGACGCTGATGGAGTGACGGGGAAGGAGGGAGGATGCTAATCTCACAACGAATCAGGAGGGAACTGAACAAGAGTGCTTCTAGAGGTTTGTTTTACTTTAGGGTGGTTACGTTATTTAAAATATGTATGCCAAATGCTTCATTTACTAGCCCCTACACCACTGCACATTTGGTTTTATTATGGATGGAAAGGTAAAAATATTGGAATGTTCACATTAAATATACACACGCATATATATATATATATGACTATACTTGACAGACACAAATTGGTCTGAAAATGATGTAAAGGTTAATCAAAGTAACAGATATTTTTATATTTGATTTAAATATATTTAGTTTTAATGTATCTAGTTAAATGGTAACTATTTAACCTAAAAGGGCTGTGCATATTGATGAAACCCACAAATGCCATGTGAGTGTTATTTGTGGCCTATTTGCTTAATCGTTATCAAGGCCCACAAAAGTTACGGTTGATCGAAGTGTTTCCAGCTTGCACATTTTTGTCACATCCGACGACGACGAAGACAACAACAACAACAATAATAAGAAAGAACACATGCGCTAACGTCCGACAACTCTTTTATCAACCGGGGAAAAAAAATGTGAGAACCGGTTGCCCGGTTAGCTTTTACGCACGTCTGTCAAAGGTTTGGTGAGGCGAGCGTGGAAACTTCAACTCGGGCACGCCGGGGGCCCGATGTGGAAGCCATTACACTGGCCACGGGCCAGCCGTCTTTGACCTCGCGACTCCAGAGGTCACGGTGGCCAGAAACCCGTTGCCCCGGGTCTTTATGCGCGGGGACATAAGATATCAACCTTGCAGCTAAGACTTGAGAATGCTAGGCTCGCGAGAGTCTCTAGCTCCCTTTCAACTCATTACCCCTGCCTTGCTGATGGGAAACGCCTGACGTTATTGAAGGCTGCTTAGCTGTTCAGCCAACATGGGTATATATGTTCTCTTGTAAAGCATCGTCAGTGGATATTTTAATGGCAATCTGAAAAATAATAATTAATCTTAATGGAACGTTAACAACAAAAGAGGGAATACTGGAGAGAAAAAAAAATCACACACACTTGGTTGAACAGTCAGCGAGAACGTTGATGTGTGACGTGTGTGTGTGTGTGCGTGTCCCAGCATTGTCTCACCGTGGGGGGCAGTAGCGTAGCGGTCAGCGCAACGCACTACGAACCCGGCGACCCGAGTTCGATTCCCGCTCACGCCCACCAACACCAGTGACGGATTATCTGAACCAGTTCTAGGCCCTCCCCTAGGTCGACTCAGCCTCAAATGAGTACCTGGTGCGGTGTGTATACATCGCCACTGGGGAGACAAAGGCGGTCGGGCGTGGTGTTGGCCATACCACTCCCCTTCGTGTGCCGTTCCGGCCTTCATAGGTGCTCGCTAACCACACTTGCCCCAAAAGTCTGTTAAGACTGTACGGGGATTCTTTGTCTTTGTCCCGGCATTGTCTCACCGTACAGGGGGAGACAAAGAGACTCCCAACATCGTCTGGACCGGCTTCCGCTTTTATAATGCTTCCGTCCACATAACCGCAATGTATGTATAATAGTTTTAGCCACTTTAGGTCCTCAAAACAAAGCCTCCATAGTAGCTATAGGATTTGTAAAGCTTATTTACTGTATTTACACTGCAATTAGCCACTGTACTGTACCTTGTATTGCATTGTGTTGATGAGAGAGAGAGAGAAAAAATGTATTTATTACTAATTAAGTGGAATATTAGAATACTACCATGATGACATATACCTCCATTGAATGCTGTCGGAACCAATCTAAATTTTAACACTTAATGGAAATGTACCCTTTTCCCCCCGTTCCCTTTACCGTGTTAAAAAAACGACGAAATATTTACACCGCTTTCTTAATTCTGCGTCTTCACAGCATTACCAAGTTGCAGTATTATTGCTTTATTAGCATCTTTAAAAGCGATTTTTTAAATTCGCCGTTATAGCGTCCGGGACCGTTGTGTTGATTCACGTTTCTTTCTTGGGGTGAGTATAATGCAGTGGTTGTGCGATAACGTTTTAAAGCTATGGGATTTAATGTATTTTTTTTTCTTTTGCATTGGAAATTATGCGTTTTGCGTAATTATTTCTCAGAGTCGCTTAATGGAGCTCTCTGCGTTACATGATTTCCTTCTAATCAAAGGCATACCGGCCACTTCGAATTTAGTCGTTTGAACCTTTTAACTGCTTTGAGTGTATCTGTGAAAGGTCGAGGCATTTTGTTGTGAAACGTACTTTTTTTTAAATCAATTGCTCTGGACTGATTCCGCTGAAATTGTGCCGACATGTCCATCTCTTGACTCAAGCCTCCGAAATACGTTTTGTAGCAACATTATCAATGCTGTGGTCTTTCCTATAACCGAGTCGTGTCCATGGTGTGGTGGTTTGTGACTTGATGGGACACTGAGCGGCAGAAAGTTTTGCGGCGTTTGTGGATGCCGCTGGCCATCGGAGGCCCGGGTCTGCCTTTGGTAACGTTACGTTTACCCAGAGTATGGGGAAATTTCAGTTTGCAATGCAGGTAGTAGTGCAGGTTGGTTCACTCGGACTGGCTGGGGGTACATTCCTTTCGGTATTGGAGGTGAGCTCTGAAAAAAAACACACACAAAGTTGCTGGCAGCGGTTCCAAGTGGAACTTCTGCGTCCCTATTACAGGTGCCAATTATTAATGACCACGCGAACGAAGGCAGTAGAGGCCTGAATAAACTACCACTTTGGAATAATGGAGAGGTGAACTTTGGAGTTGAGGCACAGGTATTTGAGGCAGGTATAATGTCATATCATCACAGGTATAATTGATTTGCTTCTATGTCATTCAGAGACCTGGGGCATAATTCACATGTCGGCGAAAGGTATATTTTTTTCTACATTTTGACAAAAAAACGTTGCCAATGTCTCCATTATCAACGATGGGGACAAACTGGCAAGGCAAATTTGTTTCGGCTATTTCAGCAACATGTGAACTTTGGGCTTTTTTTCTAGACAACTAGATAAAGCTTCTGGCCTTTACTTGCAGTTCAAAGCGGATGCAAGCAAGGAAATACACGGTAGGAATGACAACTCTGAAGTTAGAATAGAAAGTGCCAAGGAAGCATTGTAGGCACAATCAGGAAGATAATTGTGTGCCATGCGTTGGGGCACGTGTGTAGAGTGGAGAAGGAGAGATTACCAAGAGGAAACCCTAAAGCCAGAGCCGGTGGGATACTTTTAACAGAAGACATTTGAGGTCTGGTATTGACTGCACAACAGTTGTGGGATCCGTAAGAAGGAAGAGGTTGGCAAGGTTTGGGTGACATCAGTGTAATTGTCTGTGATGACCTCTTGACTTTGATACATTGTAGACGAAGCTTCGTTGGACATTGAGAGAGCCAAACGCGTACGTCTAGCCAAACGTGCACAGAATAGCACCGGGCTTTGTCCAGACAGACTGCTCTTGCAGAGGCAGGCTTCTGTATTTTTCGCGAATGTCAGCATAATTTTTTGCTTTGTACTCGGGAGTTGGGGGACGTACTTGGAACGGTGAGCCCGTGCAGAGCTCCCACGGCATAGTTCCATAAAGCCATCAAATATCTGCATCATCACTTGAAAACAGAAACTTGAATCTCGTGTTATGTAATTCACTTAATACAAAATAACATTATATGGCCTCATGTGTTTCACCAGAGCTCATCCGCAGGAGGAATTTATTGGCATAAAGCATCATCATGCCTATTTCATTTCACAGACGCTTGCGAACACCTTAAGCAATTGGTTCTGCTTGTAATAGGCAGTTGTTGACCGTAAAGTTACGAGGACAGATTCTGTGGCGGTCGAGCAATGATTAGAACGTGGGTTTAAAGCTGGTCTGGAAGTATTATTTCCTTATTTTAAAAATCAACACGCCAAACCGAACTCTGCACAAGGTCCTATTTAGGTGGTGACGCCATATTTATTGTCTTGTATGCCAAAACCCGCGCTGGTTATAACGATTCGAAAGGGATAATTGAACATATGGTGCCAATTAAAAGCTGTTTTAATGTGCCAAGCTTGAAGTCACATTCACGATGCAGTTAAAGGGCAAGACGTTACATTACCCTAAATGTTGCATTTATCCGTCTCCGTTAGACTTTAATATCTCACATATGTTGGTAGGATTTTTTGCATGTTACGATTCAGTGACAATCAGGAACAAGTATACTATGAACTGGTTACGCATGCTCTTTAGATAAAAATAAAACAATAAAAAAAATTCAGTTCACGTAGGGAATTTAACACATGACGACAAAATTACACATCTACATGTATAAAGAGTGCCAAAATTGATCAACTTTATATTTAAAACGACACATTATTACTTGATAAAAAAAACTATATTGTGAAAATATTGTGAATGTATACGTCATATTACGAAATGATGAATCTAGGAAGTGAGAAAACATTAGTTATAGATGTTGAAGCATCGCATTACCTAATACATTTGTTGTCATATACAGTATATTCGAACCGTTTTTGTATTCTGAAATCATTTTTAAAACAAAAAATAAATACCCTGTACATATCATTGAATCTAATTTAAGAGCTAATTTACAAACATTTACATGTATAAACGTGTACAAATCACGGGGAAAACTCATCATAATATATACCGAGGTTTAATATTTTTCTTGTCGGAGACGTTTGACCTGTTCAAAGTCTCTTTTCATGTTTTTTCAGACTAGGCCTTGGACGCCAAATAGAATTTTTCTACCAAAATAAAAAAAAAGTTGTAAAACACTTACTTCATTATTTTCTCCATTTATTTAGTTTGATTTCACACTGGAAGAAAACAAAATGCATTGCATGTTATTCCTCGGCCGGTGGACCTCACAGCTCGCCGGATCTGATCTTTGTTTTGAACCTGCATAAGTATATATGGTCTTCCAATAAAAACAAGAAAAACAAGGAATTGCCGAGTGCTGTGTTTTCATGGTGTAATAGACGCAAGTCACACTCGAGCGCGATGTGTGGCGATGCAACCCAAAAGCTGCGGATCGTTTCGTCGTCTGCGCTTCCTTCAAATGGAGGAAAAGCAAAGCTGCACAAACCATCACGAATCCCGAAGTCTGACGTCGCCTATTGTATAGTCGGAGTCGGCGTGTTCTCCTCTCGCTGTGGACGCGTGGAATTGTTACCATGTCCTCTGGGTTTTGCCCTCCACATTTTAGAAACATGCATTGAGATGTATTGGCTTCATCAGGCGACAGCCAGATTTGTGGAGAAATCCTCCTGCTTCGTTCCTTAAATAGAGGCGTAGGTGTGATGACGTCACTTTTAAATGTCGTGGCTTTGCTCTCCAACACACCGGTGTGCTGTGCTAACTAGTAACGAATTTGCTCGTTTTGTTTACGTGACAAACCTTACTAATTGGCCGTGTCGGGTGGTGGCGGGTTTAACGACGCATTTATATATTTACGCGATGAAACACAGTACTTTGTATTCTTGGTTCTTTCGGTAAAGTCACGTAGAAAGGAAATAATACAATAATCTATATATATATAAAATCGTTCATGTCTGTCTGTCTGTGTGTGGACTTTGGCCCATACGCACTTTCATTGGACGGCGGTTGCCCCTGGCAACGGCTAGCCACGCCTTCGCCGCTTTCATTGGACCTGGCAACGGCTAGCCACGCCTTCGCCAAGGGCTGCAGTTTCATTGGACGGCGGTTGCCCCTGCCAACGGCTAGCCACGCCTTCGCCACTTTCATAAGCTCCGTATTTAATTAAATAATAGCCATTACACAGTATTGTTGGAGCGCTAGGGGGGGGGGGAAGGAACGCCACCCGTACCCTGCCTCTTCCAAGCCGACAATTTTAGGCGAGGCCGCAGGCTTTGCACGCTACTAGGCCTCGACACCCACCACGCCACTCTGAGGTAAATTCATCAAAGTTTTTCCTACTCTTCACTACACCCCCACCACAATGTGTGCTATTAATATTACTTTTAAACCCAACGCGCCAACAATCGATTACTTTAATGTTCACTGTACAAATACTCATTAAGCTGGGTGAGCGTACTGCCAGTCTATCATGTACACTGTAGCCTGCTTATTAAGCTCGGTGAGCGTACTGCCACTCTATCATGTACACTCTAGCCTGCTTATGAAGCTGAGTGCGTGTACTGGCAGTCTATAATGTGGACTCTTGCCTGGTTATTATAATCGATTCTTTATATGTTCTTTGTACAAACAGTCATTAAGCTGCTTGAGCGACCCCAGTTCGATTCCAACTCACGCCCACCACCGCTGACGATTATTTGAAACGGACCTGGCCCTCCCCTAGGTCCACTCAGCCTCAAACGCGTAACTGCTGTCGTGTGTGAACATCGTCACTGGGGAGACAAAGGCGGCGGGGCATCGTGGATCCAAGTCCCGGGCGAAGCCGGGTCATGTGTATGTGTGTTTGTGTTTATGTGTATGTCTGTGTGTCTCTATGTATGTGTGTATGTATGTGTATGTATGTGTTTGTGTGTATGTGTGTGTGTATGTATGTGGGTTTTTTTTATGTCTTTATGTGTATGTCTGCGTGTCTCTATGTATGTGTGTATGTACGTGTGTGCATGTGTTTGTGTGTATGTATGTGTGTGTCTATGTATGTGTGTGTATGTGTTTTTGTGTATGTATGTGTGTGTATGTATGTGTGTTATGTGTCTGTCTGTGTCTGCATGTATGTGTGTGTGTATTGTGTATGTGTTTGTGTGCATGTATGTGTGTGTTTGTGTGTATGTGTATGTCTGTGTGTATGTATGTGTGTGTATGTGTGTGTATGTGTTTGTGTATATGTGTGTGTATGTGTTTGTATGTGTTTGTGTGTTTACGCTCGCATTACACAAATGTGTTGCTGGTCTAAGGCGTTCCTCGCACAGCATTGCCGCTTTATTTTTTCAGTCGTTTACTGCCTTACGCACCCTGAAAGTCGTGTGTGTCTGCAGCAAGCGCGTGTATGTGTACCTATGGACGCGCGCGCGTGTGTTGTGTAGGGGGAACGGTAGTGTAGTGCTTAGCGTGCTGTCTGTGTCTGTGTGTGTGTGTCTGTCTGTGTGTGTCTGCGTGTGTCTGTGTGTGTGCGTGTGTGGTGTGTGGGGAGCGGTAGTGTAGTGCTTAGCGTGCTGTCTGTGTGTCTGTGTGTGTGTGTGTCTGTCTGTGTCTGTCTGTGTGTGTCTGCGTGTGTCTGTGTGTGTGTCTGTGCGTGTGTGGTGTGTGAGGAGCGGTGGGTGTAGTGCTTAACGCTACGCTGCGCTACCAACCCGGCGAACCGAGTTCGATTCTCGCTCACGGCCACCACCGGTGACGATTATTTGAACCTCCCCTAGGTCCACTCAGCCTCAAACGAGTAACTGGTGTGGCGTATTAACATCGGCACTTGGGAGACAAAGGCGGCCGGGCGTGGTAGATCCAAGTCCCGGGCGAAGCCGGGTCATGTGTATGTGTTTGTGTGTATGTCTGTGTGTGTATGTATGTGGGTTTTTTTGTATGTGTTTATGTCTATGTCTGTGTGTCTGTATGTGTGTATGTACGTGTGTGTATGTGTTTGTGTGTATGTGTGTGTGTATGTATGTGTGTATGTGTGTGTGTATGTATGTGTGTATGTGTTTTTGTGTATGTATGTGTGTGTATGTATGTGTGTTATGTGTGTCTCTGTGTGTCTGCATGTATGTCTGTGTGTATTGTGTATGTGTTTGTGTGTATGTATGTGTGTGTTTGTGTGTATGTGTATGTCTGTGTGTATGTATGTGTGTGTATGTGTGTGTGTGTGTTTGTGTGTATGTGTGTGTATATGTGTTTGTATGTCTTTGTGTGTTTACGCTCGCATTACACAAATGTGTTGCAGGTCTAAGGCGTTCCTCGCGCAGCATTGCCGCTTTATTATTGCAGTCGTTTACTGCCGTGCGCACCCTGAAAGTCGTGTGTGTCTGCAGCAAGCGCGTGTATGTGTTCCTATGGACGCGCGCGCGTGTGTTGTGTAGGGGGAACGGTAGTGTAGTGCTTAGCGTGCTGTCTGTGTCTGTGTGTGTGTGTCTGTGTGTGTGTCTGTGTGTGTGCGTGTGTGGTGTGTGGGGAGCGATAGTGTAGTGCTTAGCGTGCTGTCTGTGTGTCTGTGTGTGTGTGTGTCTGTCTGTGTCTGTCTGTGTGTGTCTGCGTGTGTCTGTGTGTGTGTCTGTGTGTGTGTCTGTGCGTGTGTGGTGTGTGAGGAGCGGTGGGTGTAGTGCTTAACGCTACGCTGCGCTACCAACCCGGCGAACCGAGTTCGATTCCCGCTCACGGCCACCACCGGTGACGATTATTTGAACCTCCCCTAGGTCGACTCAGCCTCAAACGAGTAACTGGTGTTGCGTATTAACATCGGCACTGGGGAGACAAAGGCGGCCGGGCGTGGTGGATCCAAGTCCCGGGCGAAGCCGGGTCATGTGTATGTGTGTATGTGTTTATGTGTATGTCTGTGTGTCTGTATGCATGTGTGTATGTATGTGTGTGCATGTGTTTGTGTGTATGTATGTGTGTGTGTATGTATGTGGGTTTTTTTGTATGTGTTTATGTGTATGTCTGCGTGCCTGTATGTATGTGTGTATGTACGTCTGTGGATGTGTATGTGTGTGTCTATGTATGTGTGTGTATGTGTTTCTGTGTTTGTATGTGTGTGTATGTATGTGTGTTATGTGTCTGTCTGTGTGTCTGCATGTATGTGTGTGTGTATTGTGTATGTGTTCGTGTGTGTTTGTGTGTTTACGCTCGCATTACACAAATGTGTAATGCGGGTCTAAGGCGTTCCTTACACAGCATTGCCGCTTTATTATTTCAGTCGTTTACTGCCGTACGCACCCTGAAAGTCGTGTGTGTCTGCAGCAAGCGCGTGTATGTGTACCTATGGACGCGCGCGCGTGTGTTGTGTAGGGGGAACGGTAGTGTAGTGCTTAGCGTGCTGCCTGTGTCTGTGTGTCTGTGTGTGTGTCTGTGTGTGTGTCTGTGTGTGTGCGTGTGTGGTGTGTGAGGAGCGGTGGGTGTAGTGCTTAACGCTACGCTGCGCTACCAACACGGCAAACTCAGTTCGATTCCCGCTCACGGCCACCACCGGTGACGATTATTTTAACCTCCCCTAGGTCGACTCTGCCTCAAACGAGTAACTGCTGTAGCGTATTAACATCGCCACTGGGGAGACAAAGGCGGCCGGCCGTGGTAGATACAAGTCCCGGGCGAAGCCGGGTAGTACAGCTAGTACAATTATAAAACAATAAAAATTCTCACGACGTTTCGACTGCAACAAGAATATGAATCCCTGCAGTCACGAAAGCTTTAAATAAAAAAAACAGTACTTTGTCTCAAGCCTCAGTCATCCAACGTGACCACGGGGCTTCTCCATCCTTAACCTCCACACGATGACCGTCGTTCCGTCCGCGGTTAATCTCACGCCACCTGCTGGACACTATCTCACATGTCCACTCCTCCCAACCTGGGCATTTAAAATTATAAGTAAGTATAACCCGTAAAAACAAAGTTTTTCACTATAAATCCTTTATATGCGTGGCGGCTAGAGTCCTCTCGTCCTCTGGCTTGAGATGGCTGCCACCTATGGGTCAGATGATTGCATAACACCATTAAGCAATTGGTAATTAAATATAATATTTTTGTCCTAAAAAGTGTAAAAAAATTTAATTATTTTTTCACGAACATTAATTGTCACGCACAACGAGTCTGTGTGGAAAATGTCAGCTCGATTGGATGACGGGAAGTGGGTTAAAAAATGACCGAAAGATTTGCACGGTCCTAAGCAAGCAAGCGAACTTAATATAAAGGATTTTAAAAAGAAAAAATATGATAATTGGTTTTATACGCTTCTATCTGGCAACAAAACTGACACCTTTTTACAAGGAGTCATGTTTGCATAGACCGCAATACCTGCAGTC